AAATTTGATTATAACTTACCGCTTGCTTCCTTCGCATTAAGATCGTAACCATTTACGAGTACTGGCCGCACGCGGAAATCTTCCTTACGGCCAATCGACGATTGAACAGACGATTCTCCATTTTTATTGGTCCATCGACCTTTGGAACCTCGCTGTTGTTGCAACGACGATGATCTCGAACTATTCGTATTATTTGATCCTGTTGTATTTTCCGAACGATTACCACCTGAAAATAAGATACATTTATTAACATGATCTTCGTTTTATTATATTACACATTTCTTCTATCGAATTTCATCGAATTTCTATATGATAATGCTAATGTCAATTTAAAAATCAAGTAGAATTCGCGCGCAAATTCTATTTGAAAAAAGAAAACAAAAGAAAAGTTGTTAAGTAAAAAAGATGATAAATCATTGATTATTTTTGAAAATTAATTGAAATAAGCAGTAAAAGATTGGAGAAAATAGGTCAGTGCAATTTTGATGAACGTTTTGTAAATCGCGCGAAGAAGAAGACAAGTAAAAACGTTTTTGGAACGGATCCCGGCCGCAGAAATTCCAATGGTTAAGAGCAAGAGAGTGAGAGAGATAGAATATACGTGGGCGTGCGCACGCACGCGGCGCCATTTGGCGCGCTTCCGCGCCAATTTTCTGCGACCTGTCACATGGGTCACGTAGATCTTTTGACCTATGCGCGATCCAGAATGCGAATGGAACGATTATTTTCGAGACGAAGGTAGATAATATATATGGGGATAAGATAATTCGTGGTAGAACTGAAATATTTAATCGTAAAGGCTGTTAAGAACTAGGCGTATGGAAAGGTATCGGAGGTTTGCTTATGTAGCGTATATTGCGAGATAAAAATAATAAAAAATGTCTCTATGTTATTTTGCTTATAAAATAATATTCTAAATGTAACTCACCTGATACCATTTCCTGGGAGGTCATTTGCAGAAGAAGCGCGAGTTGTTGTCGCTCGGACATCCGCGCAGGGTAACCGCGGAAACGACCGTTACCGCCTGCGGGCATTCCGTCCTCATAACTCATATAACTCTCGGCAAAATAACGCACGTGGATTCTTCGTTGTAATTATTAACGAAAGAATACAAAGAATAAGGTTTCCCACGTATTTTAACCCTTGTCGTTTTGTTTCTCCTTGTTGTTCTTTTTCTGGTTAATGTCACTGTTACTACTGTCGCCGTTTTCTTCGTCGTTCTTTTTCTTCTTTTTATTATCGACGTTGACGTCGACGTCGCCGTCGTCGGCGTCGTCGACGGCGTCGTCGTCTTAATCGTAGTCGTAGTCGTTGTTATTGTTTTGTTCGCGCTCGTTTCTGTTGACGTTGCCGTAATCGGCGTCGGCGTCCTCGCCGTCGCCGTCGCCGTCGCCGTTTTTGTCCTTTTCCTTTTACGTCGTTTCGCTGACGCCGTTATTGTTGTCGCCCCCAACTTTTACCAACCACCACTCTCCTCGACCTTGCCGTTCTTCTCGTTCTTGCAATTCTTTCTTCTTCTTTTTTTTCTCTCTTATATCTTTCTTTTTCTTTCCTTTTTTTTAACTCCTACTCCTTCTCTTCTTCTTCCTCCTCTTTCTTCTCCTCCTCCTCCTCCTCCTCCTCCTCTTTCGTTCGTCTTCTTCGCGTTCTGTTGTGCTCGCGATCGTGGCGGGCCACGAGCGAATATAACCTAGAAGCACACGATCGGCTCACGCCATTTTGAGGCGCCGCGCGCGCACTGATACGTCCGATCAACGGTCACGCGATACGCTCCGAACACTTACCGCGCCAAACTCGATCGCGCCTTACCAATTATTCCGATCACTTTTTACGCGTTACTCGCACTCTTACTTATTTCTTAACGACTATGTTCTTCAGCGATACGATGTGAGTGTGTACAATCGAGTGTCTGTGAACCCCCTTAACCCCCCGCCTCCCAACGCACTTTTGCAACTCGAGCTACAGAACATAATATGACGCAACACAACGATACCTTTTTCACTTTCTTCGGTTGGTACGACTGATCACTGTGCAAATCATAATGGCGGAAATTTTAAATGTAATGTGAAATTTAAATGAGAATGCGTTAGGAATAGTATTTCTCAAACAATATTGTATTTTTATGTCGTACAGTTATATTTGAGTGATTTTTTATTTATAGAAGATGATTTAATAAAAGATAATCAGAATATTAACATATGGTAAGAATAAGAAATTAATTTTAATTAATGGAAATAAGTTTCACATATTTTTTAGTGCTGTTATCATTTAAAAAAAAATTATTATTATAATGAATATAGAAATAAAACCGTTATGAAAATTAAGATAATTTTATTCCAATTAACGAGAAACTTTGTAAAGAATATATCATACACCGATAATTATTTATAGAATAAATAATAGGCCATATTAGGTTACTATAAATATTAATTTCATATCTTCTTTAGATTTTTTCTTTCTCTGTAAAATGGCAAAGGTAACTAATCAAATTTACATAACTTTTTTTTTTAATCTTTCCATTTACTTGTTCCTTATCTTTTTTTATCTCACATGCACTTGCACAGTATCTTCCTTACTTTTAAGTCGTTTATGTGACTTGTTTTTATTGTAACGATATTACAATATAATTACGAATGGTAATAATAATAATAATAATAATAATAATAATTATTATTATTATATATTATATAATTATTATTATTTATATATTATAATATATATATAATTATATAATAATAATAATAATTATTATTATTATTATAATATAATATAAGAACGCATTCGTTAATTGCATCTAACTTAATAGCTATCTACAATTAACATTATATAGAAAATACAATAGTGACTTTCTTGTTGCTCAACAAACTCATTACATACAAATTGTTTCTTGTTTAATTGACTTTTCGAATACTGCAAATCGTGTAGAAATTTTGTCCCTCTTTTTTAATGAGTTATTTTATCATAGCGATAAATATTACCATAACATCAATAACTATGCACGGAGCATTATTTGAATTAATATATATTTATAGAGTTATTTATTTATTTTAATTTTATTTATGATATTGTGTAATTACGTTCGTCAATGTGTATGTAACAATTTCAATGATAAATCAAAGTACCATCCAATACTTTTATTCTTGTCGAACGTCCAAATAATATTTTGGTAATTTTTTATTAATGATTCTATCGGTAAAACATGTTTGACCAATTATTTTCAATTGTTGCATGGCAAATAATTCCAAATCTCTCTAATCCATATAATCTATTTTTATTAAAAAAAAGATGGTAAATAATTATGACTACACTTCAATAAATGAAAATCTGACGATCGCAGATATCGAATAGTTCATTCAGGACTCATATGCATTTACTCAGTATCGTATACAGTCTTCACAAAACATTTTGCTGAAAATTAAATATCCAGCATTACGAATACTAAACTATCTTATACGACTAAATGATCATTGTTCTTGAGAAGAAAAATTACAGGAGAGAAGATTAGTTTTTTTTTTCATAGCAATTAGTTGGAACACTTGTACAATGAGACATAGATAATGCTACTTTTTGAATAGTGAAATTTATGTGCACTGTCGTATACAAAATTCATTATAGTAATAATCACATATTTAGATAAATTTTATAAGAACAGGGGGGATGATGGATACAATATATTTTTGACATAAATTATTTATATAAATGTAAACAGTTATACCAAATTTTGTAATTACAAATAAAACGTATCTTACGCATACGCTGTTATATATGCGTGATTATAATTTATTATTATTTGATCATAGAAAATTGGGTGTGTAGGAATTATTTTATTTTAGATAATAAAAAAAATTCTTGGCATTTTTTTCCTTAGGAAATTGTTTTCATGCAATGTTGAAATGGGAAAATAATAATACACTGTTGAGGGTAATTTTTATATCTATGTGACATAAAATTTTCAAAAAGTAGTAATTGGACAGAATGGTCATGTATAGGGGTTTCATATTTACTTCAGGCAACTTTAATTAATAATCATTTCCCACAATGAATATTTGGTTAGTCCCATTTCATTGGTCTATCGGTTAAGACAAATTTCTTATGAGTTAGAAAATGAAGTTTTTTTTTTCTTCCTTTTTTTCAGTGAAATCTTCGTGTATGTTCTTTCTCTTGCTTTCATTATGTATATATTATATACATACAACATTAGTTCAATATTTGAAAGACTAGTAGTATTATAATATATTTAAATGTTAATGTGTGTATTAATGCAATCGTTCATTGATGCAATGTCTGACCATGGGATTTTTTAAAAAAATTAAGTGTGCGTTACCAGTCTTGGTATACGGAAGGACAAATGAAAATACATGCATTTGAATAAAACATAGTAATTATTTTTACTAATGTGAATTTTTATCATTCTAAGATAAAGGTACATCCAAAGCATTAACAGACTTTGCATCAAAAAAAGAACGAACGTTTTATTATTAGATAAGATCGGCTAAGCATTGATACGAAGGTTTTATTTTTTTTTTTGAGGGGAAATGGATATTCTACTTATAGTACGTCAATGATTATAGCAATTATTAGTTTGATTAGTTGTTAATTCATAAAATGTTATTTTTCACTTAATGTTCAATGATGTAATAGTATATTTACTTTACTTTCAGACGAGTCGAAGAATGGCAGGCTATAGCAGTACATGCAAAGAGAATTTCTAATTCTTCTTAGCGTCGTTTTTGCTTATTCATGATTGTATATAATAGTTAGATTTAAATAAACTGAAAATTCTTTTTTAAATAATCTTACACAGACACGTAGATATATATATATAAAAGGATAATTTAACTGTAAATTACATCATGCTATGATTAAATATAATTTGTACTAAAAAATTTAATGCTTTTCAAAGGTTTTAATTTTACAAATATTTTCCACTTTTCGTATCTATATATGTAATACTTAATTCACGTACTGCGGATTTAATATTGATAACATTTTTCTTTTTCTTATTTTTTTGTTTTTATTGCTAAGAAATCATCAAAACAATTAATTCACTATTAATTTCAAGATGAATCATGCTCGTCGTATTATAATTTATACTTCCAATGTCTATCTATGCTAACATCTTCGGGATACTATTTGTAATTACAATATAATGATAAGACTATGACAATGAGATTGATGAAAATCAATGATGACAATATAGTATTAGTTTCATAACTAGTAATTACTATAATTCACTCTTAAACATTACTTTATACAATGTATACTACTACTTTTTCCAGCGGAATGTCTACCAACTTTTTCTACTCCTGGTGGTATTTGAATGGTAAAAGGAAATCATTTTTCTTTCCCCTCTTTCCCCTATGGTTGAGTATATATGCCTATGAAAACCAGCTTAAATAGCTTTTTTGTTTCATTTTGTTTTATGCTTACGTTAGATGCTACTATTCAATCATATAAGAAATTGGATGAACTTGTCTCTCTTGTGTGACTATATTTTTAATATACACACACGTACATTTATAAATAAATGAACAAAAATGTATAATTTCGAACAGCAAATTTGAACCCATAAAAAATTTCCAGATTAATTGTAAGTCAATAGTAATTAATTGAAGGCTCGTTCGAAACAACCAATCGTAAATAATATTACTCCGGCGTTTTAGTAGAATTATATATTCATTTTATAATTAAAAATTTAATTTAATCTAATATATTATAATAATAATAATAATAGTAATAATAATAAACGAAGATATCACGCTTCGCTTTTCTCAATCTAAATTCTTTCATTAAATCGTCTATTTCTATAGCGTCGAGAGAGTTTCTCTACCAGTCTTTTCTTCTTCTCCATATCTAGGCTTTTTTTATTTTTTATATTTTTATATATTTTTTTTTGTAATTATTATTATTTCATTATTATTATTATTAAAATCGTCATATTGAACCCTGTGTATGACTGTGTATAATTTTTTTTTTTATTCTTTTTAAATTCTTAGTAAACACACGAGCATATTTATTATATCATATTTGACTTGAGCTGCGGGCACGCAGTTGCGTACTAATGTAAGAGTTTCTTTTTTTTTCTTCTTCTTCTTCTTCTTTTGCCAGATCACACAAATGTATTATTTAGCGTATCTTAGCAAAATTTGGCGTATGGCACAAATTAATGTGACACGCACATTATTACGTTTCACATTGTTTCCCTTAATGAGAACACTTTATTTTATTTTATTTTTGTTTTTTTACTTTTCTTCCATATAGGCGCAAGGAAGACTTCAATATAATATTATCGCTTGTTTAATTCTCTCTCTGCTTTTTTCCTTAGTCATCCTCTCATGATCGTATTTCTCTCTTTCTCCCTCCCTAATTCGATAATTATTTCATATTTTCAATGTTAAATCTTAACAATACAAATATATAATACTTGAAACCGATAAATACGTTTTACAACGCATGCTTTTGATTGATTTATGTTGTTTTGTAGTAGAAAGAAACGTAAGATTACTATTATAATTTCAATACGATCATCATAATAACTTATTATCATCATCATCATCACACAATGAAAATAGAATTTCCATTAAAGCCTTGTTATTGTATTTTACTGCTGTTGCTGCTGCTGTGTAACAACTAATGTCAATATTTTGGCTGAGTGTTTATAGAACTTGCACTTGTTCATGTTTAACACGTCATGGGTTAGAAGAATATACTTGCTTCATATCCGATCATTCAATTCAAGAACCAAGTGTCACCAGTGGAGAGCTGGTATTCCAGAGAAAGAATTGCATCGTGTTGGTCGACCGATGTTGATGATGTTGTTGATGCCTTCTTCTCTTTCTACCTAAAACCTCCACAGGCTGGATCTTCGGACTCCCGATGCTGATCCTGTCATACATAGATAGCGATTCCGTCAGATCCAACCTACGATGGATTTCCTATTCTTACGAAAGTGCATTATCGATTGTGGGGGTCTTATTATTAATAACAATAATAATAATAATAAATAAATAATAATAATTATAATAATAACAACGAGAATATAATTTCAATGGTTAGTTGTTAACACAGTCTAACTATTACATTTTTTAATAATAATAAATAATTAAAAAAATATTATTTTCCAAAAGATGAAGTAAGTAAAAGAAAAAAAAAATTAAATAATAAACAAAAGAGTATTATTTCGAAATATATAACATAGAAAATAATTGTAACGCGCGTGTAGGGACTTGTACTATAAATTTCTCCCCTCTCTCTATCTCTATCTCTCTTTCTATCTATTTCCTTTTTATATTTTTTGTTTCTATCTATGGTTGTACCGACCAGCATGAGAAGCGGCTACCATATCTAGGGGCAGTGAACCTCGCCGTTTAACGAGTGGTTCAGGAACAGAATCTCTCTTTCCAAGTTCTCTCTTCCATTTATGGGATGTTCCAATGTCATTTCCTTCGACGATACTTCCTGCGAACATCTCTGGTCCGCCGCTACTTCTTCTCTTTAATTTCTTCCGGTTACGAGGTTTCCCATTGACGTTACCACTTTTGCTAAATAATTCCCGTCGTAACTCAGATATATCTGCTGGTATTGAACCTCTCCTAGGTGATGGCATACCAGGACCAGGTGCAGTAATATCAAATACTTTGTTTGTTCCATTATTGTTACTACTTTCTGTATTATTGTTATTATTATTGTTATTATTTATCAATGGACAATTTTCTCTTTCATCTGAAATATATTAAAAAAAAATTAATTATAATAAATTAAATACATACATAAATGCGTATACACGCACACATATATAAAAATTATTTGAATAGATTTTGTCGTTAAAGAATACACACTGGATAAGGAAAACACATTTCCAAGAATATTCTTCAGTGCAGCTTCTTGCGGAAGACTAGCTCTTCTGGGTGCGGGAAGGTTTTCTTCTCGTGGTCCCAATGCTAAACGATTAAATCCTGCTTCTAAATATAATATAAAATTATTTGTCAAATATAATATCCAAGTTTTCATATTATATTTTTCATTATGTGTATTTGAAAATAATACTTGTTGAACTATCTTGATGCCTAGTAATGTCGGCTGGCACAGAACCACGTCTGCAACTATGGTCTACTTTTGGCTGCATAGAAGTCATTGTAAAATCATCTAATCTTGATAATAACGCTACTGGCGCTGAACCACGTCTCTTTTCCAAGCCCTAAACATGTTACATATAAATAACATTCGTTGATTATTTTCTTTTTTTTTGAATACATTTTTAATGAATTCAATGAACACAAAACTTACCTGACTGTTTTTTCGCGATAAAGCGATATTTTTGCTAGATTCTTCGACGCCACGTGGATCGACATTCTCTTTCATTTGCACATCGAAATTTAGCTTAGGAATTTTGAAAACTTTTTCTCTCACATAATCAGAATCCTTTTTGTTAGTTGGAGTAACTGCACTTTCACCGATAGTGGAATCAAGGATATTTTTTTTTGGTTCACTACCACTATCGCTCGAAGAGGATACACTTTGAACTCGTGGAGGGGAGTCAGGTGGACTGCCGATGAAAAATTTATGAGTGGGAAGCTCAGAAGACACAGGTATCGTAGTGAATCGCCTACCGGTATTATCAATTAATGGTTTAGGTTCGGTTACGGGTGTTGAATATCTACGTAATTCCGAATCCGTGTTCTTAATGTGAATAATATGATGATGAACTAAAGTATGTTCGGATATTTTATTAGCCAAAATATTACGTATTTCTTCGGAAGGTAATTTCGTCGTACTAGGCTTAATTTCCAAATTGGATTCTATCTTTTGCATATCACTAGTCGAATCCTTATTGCTGTGCGAGCCAGTTAACGAAGCATAAAACACTTCCGTAGAGTCAATTCCCTGAGCGGAGGATGGTCGTTTGTGTCGCGTTTGTTTAGTCGCGTTGAAATCATCGTTACGAGCAACTTGCATCGAATGTCGTCGCGGATGTTCAGCGCTAACACCAGACTCGAGTTTTTGCCGATTTAATTCCGTAAACACGGACGCTCTCTTTCTGTTCAATATATCCGTGGTAAGAGATTCCTTCGATGACTTAACGCCGTTCGTTTTTTTCAATGAAATTAAATCCGCGTCGAGTACTGGTGGTGTACCACAACGACCACCAGAACAAGATTTATCTTTGGTTGGACTCGAAGAAGAACTGGAAACACTATCGGTCTCCATTAGAACTTGAGTGTAACATTGTGACAATTCAGCGGTTGCCGACATATATCTCATTCTTGCGTATGGTTGTAACGGTGGGAAAGTTTGTTGTCTTGTCAATTGTTTAGTTTGCGTACCACCACTACCACCACAACTACCAACACCAACTTTCTGATTGTCTGACTGAAGGACCGTACTTAATCTCGATGCTTCGCTACTGTTTGTTATACTAGCTATACTGGGTTCGGGTAAAAGATTTTCTGCGCTGACCGGTCTCTCCGCGATACTTGATTTTTCCGACATATCACCAGTAATACTATTTTTAGACGATAACAATGACAATGTACTCGGCTCCAAAAGATGTAGATCCTTCAATTTAATCAAATGATTCTTTGATTTATTACCGTGTTCGCTCGGGAAACTATCCCTCCTATCTGCATTTTGAATCGATAAGGATAACGGCTTTGATACGCTTAGAGGTACAGAATGACGTCTACCAACTCGACCAAATATAGCTTTTCCTGGTAAACTGGGCCTTCGAGCACCTTGTATGTATGCCGTTGGAATCAATAAATCTATGCTTCCTGAATCATCTTCCGCAGTTAGTTCTTCCCCAGAACTAATAACATCAACCTCCTCCAACTCGGAAATTTCAGTCTCCGCATCTTCGGCAGTTTCTTGAGCGATAAGAGTTTCCCATTTCTTTTGATTGCTACGTAGATATTCCATCAATGAAACGCTCAGACCATCGCCAAGAAAACGATGCCATTCCTCGTACAATGGGGTTACGACGAACTTGAAAAATCCGACTTGAATTTTTGGAATACTCGTTGAGTGTCGATCGCACAAGGGCGTTACAGGTAAATTTAAACGACGCTCGTAATCACCTTGACGAAAGAATTCTTCGCAAACTTTATAGGACCATTTCCTTGATATATCCCAGGGCCTACAGGGATTCGATATATCCGCACATTTTAATGCTATTTGCAATATGAAATGACGATTATCCGATTTCCTCATATCCAATGTGTTTTCATCCAGGTAATGCTGGAAAAAAAGTCAAACAAATAGGAAACATAGTTAAACACATCACTTATATCATCCTTTTTACTCGATATTTCATAAGTAATGACATATAATAAATAAATTTACCCTAAAACGTGTAAGGAATTCCTGTTGTCTTGTGATATCCGTAGCCAAAATCAACGAACTGATATGACATTGAAGTTCCGATCTTACGTCAACTGGTAATTGATCGGATACACCGCTTTCTATAAGACATCCTATGGCTGACCTCCAGTGATGATTCTCCAGAACCGACGTATTCTGAAGACAATGAGCGAAGATTTCACGTATATTGTGGAATACACTGGATATTCTGGAACGACGAATCGTCGAAATTCGTTTTATACAATTGATATTTCTCCATATCATGGAGAGTTATTTTCACCTGATATAATGCCGCCAGATGATTGCTCGTTGCTACAAGAAACGGTTGATTTACACCCGGGTGATCCAAATCGTGCGTTACTGCAGCTATCAAGGAAGCCATAATTTCTAAATGGGTTAAGTGCGTTCTGATCTGCAATTTCATGCCATAAATCAATTTAATCGTTGCGAATAAAAACTTAATAAAAATCATTTTTTTTAAGGATCAATTAAACACTCACTTTTTCTTCTTGGAGGAAACAATGCATAGCCTGAGTCACATCCGTCGCGTGTATACTGTTGTGGTAAGGATTTGTACTGTGATAACCCTCTTCGATAAAAGCTTTAATTGCAAAATCGCAAGATAAGATAGATCAGAACGTTTATTTTTATTTATTTAATTATTTTGCAATATACGGAATGTTCAGTAATTGGCAACAAGTGTACAAATGAACAAGTGAATGATACTACGTGAAAAATTTAATCCAAAATGGATAAGAGTACACACTCATACTCGACAAATTTTCAAACATATTTTTCCCCAAAACAAAGTATTTTACGAATAAAATTTGAATATACATTATCGATTTATTTTTTTTTCTTTCATGTAGAATCAATCCTTGAAACATTGTACGGACCATTTACAGAACATTTTGGAGATGAATTTAATTCTTACCAAAGAGTTTCCATACCGTGACGACGTCTAAATGAAAATATTCGAGAAGCCCGTACCAATGAAAGAGATGAACGCATAATACTGGCAGAGAACGTCCTGAAAAATCAAATCCACCGTATAATCATATTACAAATATATGCAAAATAAAATAACATTGTTTAAAAACTAGATCATGCTTTTACTAAAATTAGATTTGACATTATAATATATCAAGTACAAAAATAGAACGGAAGATCGATCTTAAGTATATAAGAAATGATTTTTATCTTTTGAGATTTCCATTAACAAGATATTTGATATGATACGTTATAAATACATTTCTAAATATCAAAGGTTGGTAATCTTTGTTTAAAAAAAAAATAAAGTAGGGTACCACGGATAGCTGTTTAATGGTAAAAGAAAATGAAACCTTTTAATTTTGATATTTTACTTTAACCCTTCGAGTGCTGAATACTTTTAACTACAATGTTTTGTAGGAACGGAATAATTTATTATTAACTAGATTCTAATAATAAATTATATTAAATAATTAAATGTTTTGTTTCTGAATATAATTTAATTAGTTAATATAAACATTACATTATTTTACATTAATATTAACAAACACGTATATGCGTCGATAAACCACTTTGGTAATTTTTACCAAACGCATATATGCGTCCATAGCATTGTAAGGGTTAAAAGAAAATTCGTAAGTTTAAATTATATACTCCATAAATATTTTAAATTCATTATTACTATATATAAAATTGTATTTAACATATTCACATTTGTATAAATTACTCCCTTTCTTTTTGTGAAAAGCAATTTTTTTTTTTTTTTTAAATAAAGACTGTTACTAACCTCTGAATAATTATTATACTACATTACGTCTATATAATAAAATTTTCTACGTAATAATATTCGAAGAAAAATTATATGAAGAAAAAGCAATTTTCGCCTGTCACTCACCACCCGTCACTGTTTCCAACGTGAAAGCGTTAAATCGCCAGTTTCCGGCTTTTTGCAAAATACACTGTAAGAAATAATGGAGAAACAAAAAAATAGAAAGAGTTAGAGCTTGAACAGAGAAGAAGATAAGAGAGAAAGAGAGAGAGAGAGATGATAATAGCATTAATTAATAAAGAAAATAGTAGATAGGAGAATTATTAAAATACACGAATGGATGAAAAGAGGAGTAAGTAAGTGATGAGGGATGGGGTGAGATGAAGTGGGGGTGGAATGAGAGAAAACGAGGAAGGTTCTACGCTTAAGGGTTGTTTGGCACGCTTCTACGATGTGTGTAAAAAAAACTACTCGCAATAATATCGCGAAATTAATTTTTTGTTCTTTTCCTCTTTTTCGCACGATTAATTAATAATTAATAAAATATTTTATGTTTGCGTGAGAATAACGTGCACCAGAAATAACGGGAGAGAATCGGTTGTGTTTTTAGTTATCCTCGAATGATAATATTCGGTGGTAAGATGAAATTTACGCGATATGTTGTTGGTAGATGAGAATTTTGTTCGCCCATAATGTAATTAATTTACGTAGCACACACATACGCACATTTACATATCTCGTTTCACTAATCGTAATACATAGGATCCTCTCTATTTTATTAATTAAAGACTTTTAATAGGATAACATTTTCTGCGCAAAGTAAAATGTGTATAAGAGTGTGTTTCCAAGTGTAAATACGTGTACGCATTTATAAACACGCACATACACACACACAACACATACGGTTATAAATAATAATTACTACCGTTTTGTCTCGTTTCTTCTTTTTTTTTTTCTGTGTTAACAAGGTGTAAAAAAAAAAGTTGAAAATAAAATGTAAAAAAAATAAAAGTAAATATATTTACTACCGTGTTGCATTTAACGAGCATCTCGAGAAGCGATTTTAACGTGAGTGTTGTTATATGCGTGTACGTGTACCGTGTGTGTATGTGCAACGGATGGAAAAGTTCGTTTGCATGATGAGAAAAAAAGTGAGAAAGAAAGAGACAAAGAGAAAGAGAGAGAGAATGAAAAAGAGAGAAAGGGAGAGAGTAACAAAAAAAATTGATAAATAATACACGTGTGTCTCACCTGAACTAGACCATGAAAAATGTCATCCAAGATAGCTGGTTCTTGATTGAGAGATCTTGTGAGTAACCTTTTACGTCTTCTTTTATGCATCGTTAAAAATCTGCCAGTACGTTTTATCCTGGATCGTGTAATGTCCAAACTCTCCAATAGAATTCGGTCGACGTCCGATAAACGTCTCGTGGATGCTGCTTCCGGTTCCTCTGGTTGCAACTTGACGTCATCCGTTGATTCGTTTGATGGTACTGCGGCATCTTCTGTTTTCGATTTAATAAAACATTCGTTTTATATCATTCATATATGTTATTATTTTTTTAATTAGCACAATGGTGAAACGCGAATGTTATATATTTTTAATTTGATTGTTTTTATGAAAACAAAGTAGGTATAGATGTAAAATAATGAAGGGTTGTGTTCAAAAGTAATTAAACAACCATTAAAAGAATATTTCATTATTGTAAAGAACAAAATGATGACCCATTTGATGGACATGATATTTTGAAATTAATTCAATTATCATTTTTAAGAAAGTATATATTTATTGTTTATAATATAATAAATGTTAACCCTTTTAATACATAAATGAATTATGGTCTTTTTTAAATGGTCTAGCGGCAAATTTTGGACCATCCTTTTTTTATTTGCGAATAATTGCATATAATTTATATTATTTAATTATTATATAAATATATAATAATTATTTTTTATTATATATTATTATAGTAAATATTATTATAATTAATATAATATAATAAAATATTTAATTAATATTATTATAATATTAATAATTATAATATAAATATATAAATAGTATATATTTTATATTAAATATTGATATAAATTTTATATTATATTAAAATGTATATTATATAATATATATTTTATATAATAATATATTTAATATAATATATTGTATATTATTATATAAAATATATAATATTATATATATTAATATACAATATATTATAATATATCAATATATTATATTAATATATTTTATAATTGCAAAATATAATACCGTAATATTTTTAATAAAAACAAAATTATCTAATGTTATTGTAGTATTTATATATAAAAAAAAAAAAACTATACTATAAACATATAAAATCACTATAAATGAAAAAAGGAAAAAGCAATAGGTAATAAAGTCAAGGCCATAAAAGCTTAAAGCATCCTTCAACCTACGCGTGTCATTTGTCAACAATTGATCAAACGTGAATCGCAGTAAGCCACTGTTGTATGCTAGAAGAGTGCAACCCACGCACAGATAAATAATACGCTTTAAAATGATTATTATGCTTATTATCATCTTTATTCAGAATTTATCCTTATCGATAACACTCGTTAAAATTTGTATAGTGCATTTTTCTTTTTTCTATTTTTTCTTTTCTTTTTTTTGTATTCATATCTTTTGAAAATATTTATCTAACAAATATTTACGAGATGTATACCGAGAGACACGAAATCTATTTTATTTTCAACCTACGATTCATTCTCGTGTGCACGAATGTGATGATATTCTCTCTTTACGTAAATCGTAAAGTCTTTCACTATATTTCTCTTTCTCACTAACTCTATCTCTCTCTCTTTCTCCCTCTCTCTCTCTCTCTCTCTTTCTCCCTCTCTCTCTTTCTCTCTTTCTCTTTCTCCGTTTCTCTTGGGTCGTTGAATCTGTCTGCAATCTGAGAGATTTTCAGAATAGACGTGAGGTTTGTAATTTTAGCGAAGCGTGTCTATTTCAACGCGGTCTGGTTAACTTTGTCGGCAAGTAAACGAGATTAAAGGTGTTCAAAAACAACAACTTTTCTGTTAATACATATAAAGTTGTATAACAAAAAAAAACCAAGATACAATAGATAAGAATATAAAAATTTCGATCTGAAATTATTTCAATGTATTTTTTTTATATTATTATAATTTTTAATATTATTTATTATATTATTATTATTTTTAATTTATTATTATATTATTATTATTATTATTATTATTATTATTATTATTATTATTATTTTAATATTATGTATTATTTATTGATATTATTTATTATATTATTATTATTTTTAATTTATTATTATATTATTATTATTATTATTATTATTATTATTATTTCAATATTATTATAATATTTAATTATTTTGATATTTTGATATACGGGACTATGTACGAATTTAAAATTGTTGTGAGTCTAAAAATAGAAAAAAGAGAATAGAAAGTTAGAAAATAAGTTATTTTTAAGATTAAAAACAAAAAGAGAACATGTCAAGATATACGTGTCAAGGATGTTATGTTAAAAGTTCTATAGACACTTACAAATACACATACACATTCTTGTACTAGTCCCAGTCGCGATCCATTGTGTTGCAGTTAATTGCAACATGACGTTAAAAGGTCCTAAGCGTTCGTTATATGTGAGTTATCTTATTTATAGATCTCATTACATAATTTAAAATGCACTTGTAACCACCAACGGGGCCGATGCGCTTTCATCTTCTATTATGAGTGTTTAATATGCGTATTAAATATTCACGATTATTATCGTACCAGTGTTTTATCAAAGATTTCAATTTTTTTTTCTTTTTTTCATTAATTCAACCTACATACATTATTATTTTTTCATTGATCATTATTTATTAATATATGATTACAAATATTTAATAATTATAAAATTGAAATGGTAATTAACATTATATTTGTTATTTTCATCGATAAAATAAACTTTGTAAAAATAAACATGAATTATATGAACCGTCTAATAATTTATACTATCTTATGAATATCTAAAATATGAAAAATATTTTTCAAAAAAGTATTCTAGATGAATATGAAATTTATGAACTCGTGTAAGAAAATATTTTCTTTTTTATTAAAAGATGGATGGAAAATTTTTAAATTAATAAAAAAATCCATTAATCTTATATTTGAGATATAAGATGAGACGAATTTTTTAAATAATATAAAATGTTTTTCTCATAAAAAAAAATATTTGTGATCAATGTTAAACAAAATGAAAAAATTAATTTCAATGTTGAATAATTTGATAAATTTGTTTCCTCGTAGGAAAATTGAAAAACGTTTCAACAAGGAAATAATATTGACAGTTACAAAAATGACAATGTATTTGAAAATATTTTTTCCCTGAATGATTTTTATTGTATCTACTTACTATCGATATAGTATACTATGTAAAAAAAAGTGTATAATGCATATACATAACGTATTGAATTTTACTCACCACTGATTCGCACATATACTCCATTCTGTTCCTCGCTATTCACAGTTATTTCGGCAGACCGCCTCTGAAAAAAGAAAAATACAAAAGAAATTTATTCGATATGAGTTTCTATCAGCGATATCTGTAATCAAGTTTAGCGACCGCAAAGAAAACACTAACGTTGCAATATCGATGAATCCACGCAGATAGAACGATTACTTTCCAATATATATATATATTAGAAAAGGAAGGTTACATAATACATTACGCGTTAGGTTTATCCCTCAAATATATATACATATATATATTTATACATATATTTTATCTATATCCAACTATCGAAGAAACCTATTCAAAATCTGGGACGCAATATTGCAATATATAAAAATAAAATTGAAATTCATACTAAAATATTTGTATAATTATGATGATATATGAATTTTTGGTAAGTTGCATCAATGTGATATTTATAATATTGCATGTGATAAAAATAATTAATTTCAACAAGGATCCAAGATGATCATTTCAAATTAAACCAATTAAAATTATTTGATATAAGATTATTTAATATAAATGCCAAGTAATCTTTCTTCCAAACAACGATCATATATGTCCAATTATCAAAGAAACCCATTCAAAATCTGGGACGCAATATTGCAATATATAAAAATAAAATTGAAATTCATACTAAAATATTTGTATAATTACGATGATATATGAATTTTTGGTAAGTTGCATCAATGAGATACTAATAATATTGCATGCGATAAAAATAATTAATTTAAACAAGGATCCAAGATTATTATTACAAATTAAACCAATTAAAACTATCTGATGTAAAATTAGCTAATAAATGTCAAGTAATCTTTCTTCAAAACAGCGATCATAATTACAATAATTATTATAATACCACTGAATTATATCATAACATACATTAAATCATATGAAACGTTAGTGATCGTATAAAATTTGTTACATATAAATGTTAAACAATAAGATAAAATGCAAAAGTAAAATAAGGAAAATATGAAGGAAGAAAAAATTAAAATTTTTAAAATAATTTTTATAATACTTTTTAAGTAGAATAAAATTTTTAATTTTAAATATAATTCTTTATAATATATAAAAATATAATTTTTATATATTATAATTTTATATATACTATATATACTATATATTTATATATACTATATTTATATATTATATATAATGTAATAATATATTATAATAATTTTTTATATAATTTTTTATGTACTTACAAAAAGTAATTAAATTTGTTTATACTAGATTTTTTTTATATATACTTAATTAATATTTTTTATATACTAGACTACATATATTTACAAATATAATTTTTTTTTATATATTAGATTTTTTATATATATTAAATTAATTTTTTTTGTATACTTAACTACATATACTTACAAATATAATTTTTTATATACTAGACTTCAATTATTTATTGTATTCAAGTATGTATATATATATATATATATATATATAGAAAAAAAAAAAAAAAAAAAGAAAAAGCCCTTTAAAAGGTTTAAGGCTAATGACGAATGCAAGTAAAAGCAAGAAAACTAGTGAAAAATCTTTCTGGCAATGTAGAGATGCTGACTGGAACTCGTTGGCAGGCTTTTCAAGCCACCAACGCCGGCCGATTGCCAATTGCAAAATGGGCCGACCTGAATTCGTATTCATCTCGAGGTCCCTCGATACTGTTTCGCCGTTGGAACATGATCATCGTCGACGTTGTTGTACCAATGACGAAAAAGGATGGATGTTCAAGATTTCACACAGTTAACGACTAAACGTGATATCTATGCCAATTCCAATTCGATTCAGATTGATAGATTTATAAGTACGTTCTCTTGTCGTCAGCTATTTTTTATGTTCCACTTCTTTTTTTCCCTTTTTTATTATTATTTATTTAATTACAATTTTATTTATATTAAAGTATTTATTTGTTATTAATTTTTTATACTTGAAAAATAACTTTCGGTCATTATTCGATTTTACACCTTAATTCGAACGATAATTTATTATATTTATAGGTTAGGTTTCATTTAGGTAATAATAAACATTTTGAATATTTAGTATAACTAGAAAATTGTGTTAATTTTATTAATTATATTTTAATTATATTTTTAGTTTATTAAGTATAACAATAAATTTGTTGTATATATAATTATATTATATAATATTATATAATTATTATAATATTTTAAAATAAAAAAAATGATAAATTATTTAATATAATTTTATAATTATAAAAATTTATAATAATAAAATATTGAGAACAACTTTTAAAAGTATAAAGATGTTAATATATAAAGTATATAAAATACTAAAATATAAAAGTTTTATATTTTATGTTCAATCATTTCAAGATAGCTATAAGAAATTCATCAAACATGCAAAAAATTATCTCGAATGCAAAAAGTTAATATATTACAATAACTTAATTATTCATTTTATTATTATAATTTTATACTGTTTATAATTATTAGCAAAAATTCGTATGTTCGATATTATAATTTTCTTTTTTAATACAAAACTTCCTTAAAATCTCTACAAACTTTCTAGACAATTCAATGTTATTTATCATCATCATCATCATCATCATCATCATCATCATCATCATCATCATTACAGTATTATTCTTGTTGTAATTATTGAACACGTCGTAGTAAGTCTATTAATCCTAGTTTGCCATCCTATTCTTATCTTTTTATTCCTTTTAGCCGAAACCTTTCTATCTTAGATTAGACCCTTCTTATCTCCTATTACCTTTTCTCTATTTCTCTACACACCCTTTTTCTGACCTCCCCATAAACCCTTAACAAACAGCACATCATTTTCTTCATTCTCCTTTTGTCCGAAAAACCAAAGAGAAACGTTTCCAACTATCGACCAAACAATACTATTCCAATATTTACCGTTCAACTGTATTTTACGAACACGACGAAATAAATCATGGATAGGGAACATATAAATTCTTGAATTATTTATTGTAGTCTAGAACGAACTCTTTCCTATATCGATTCTTGGCTATTTTTGAACTTAACACATAATTTTTTCTTTTTTTATTCTATTTCGTTTTATAAATTAATAAAGAAAGAAAAAAAATGTAGTACACGTTGTCAATTGTTCAATTATTTTTGACAAAGTATACAATAAAACTTCAATCTAATGAAATATAATCAAAATTTCATGTAAATTGATACAATTAAGGATTCAAAGAGATCATTATTGTTCGTATAAGTGCGATAAGAAATAATGAAATAAATTTACATCATTTTTGAACATTAGTTTACTTTCATAATTAATGGAACATGTAAAAAAATATGTCAACCTATTATCTTTGTTCAACTGTATGTTACATCTCTTTAAAAGTAATTTATATATATATAATTTTATTATCTATCTGGAAATCTTGATCTTATTCTCCTCAAATAGGACTACCTGACCCGATTGTGAAACTATTTTTCAAGTATTGACCTAATACCTCAATCAAAGTAGTATAATAATATCTTTCTGTCTTATGTATTTCCTTTTGGTAAGATCTTTGAGTATCTTTTTCTCTTTTTTCCATCTATTTTCTTTTCTTTTTATTATATCAAACGTCGCTTGGAGAAAAAAAAAAGAAGAAAAAGAAATAAAAAAAAGAGGATAAGAGAAAAGAAAAATCTCGTTGAACTCATCTGAAGGACATCACGTATTTGGCTCCGATTCCGAGCTCGTTTAATTGTGTTTGAGAAAAAAAAAATTCCGATTCTACTTTTACTAACAATGAGTCAGTCGACATCCTATTGAGTTTCACGAGTTCTTAAACCGGTGAATAATGCTGCTACATAGTAAGTAAGTAACATGTATAGTATATGTATATATATATATATATATATATATGAATGTATGCATGCATCAACTTCAACTAACAAACTATGATTTCTCTTCAACTTTTATTCATCCCCCATAAGGACAGGTACAGTGAAACCTCCAATATCTGACTATCTAGTATTCGAACGTTCTACTATTCGTATATTCCACTAACGAAATATTCTATTTATCTGTACATTGTCTATATATACTTTCCTGTTCGTGTCATAATATAAATATATATACATGCTGTGGTTTTGTTATAAAATGTTGATTTAATATAATTTTAAACTATTTAGTAAATTGTAACAACAAACAAAATAATATAACAAATAAAATGAAATACAAAAAATAATAATACATGAATAAATATAAAAAGTAAGGTTAGTTATGTCATATGTAAATCTGAAAAAAAACGTAGGACGTGAATATATCGAAATAATTCAATTGTAATACAGCGCTATCTATCGAAAATTTACAATACCTAGAGACTTAGATAACCCCTAAATAATAAATCCTTAAATTAGCAATAAAAAATAAAAATAATAACGATAAAAACTATCCTATATACTAAATTGAAAAAATCACACAAAATAAAACAAATTTCATTATGATCGGTTCAGTAATTTCGAAGTTCATTGGAAACCAACAATGTGACACTAAATTTTTATACATAAAGAAGATAAATGTACTGTCAAAACACACGAGATACGTGTATGACAACATAATAAATAAAGTAAATTAAACAATTTCCATTATTTAATCATACAAAAGCTTTTTGTTTGCGTTCTACTAAAAAAAAAAGAAAAAAGAAAACAAGACCTGTGTTGCAGTCGGTGCAACATAATCTCTGTTATGCGCATTTGTACAACTCGTGCATTATAAAATAAATGTTTGTAATTTTTTTTTAGATTCTCATCCGTCTTCCTTACATTTAAACTTACCACCGATTCAACTACGATAAAAGAAGAAGAAAACAATAATTAAAAAAAAAAAGAAAATAAATTGAAATAAACAATTCTATTCTTTAATGTTTCAAATGTTTTCTTTATGATTTGTAACAAAAAAAAAAAAAATAAAATAAAATAAAATAAAATGAAGGCTTATGTTATATAGTTGGTGCAACATAATCTCTCTCATGCGCATTTGCTCGTTTCTAGAGGACACATAGACACATAAACACATATATATATATCATACACTTAA